AACTGCGACACGCTCCCTTGGGACACATCTGTCACAGCAGCAGCACCATGAACTAAGACAGGTGGCAGTCTGAGTCCAGAGGGGCCCAAGGCGAGGAGCACCTGCCGCTTACCTGGCTCAGGTCGTCTGGCTTCACAAAGATATTCTCCGCGGTCACGTTGCCGTGAACGTATTCGTTCTCATGGAGGAACTCCAGGGCGTCCAGCTGCGGGGGTAGAGGGTGACGACAACCCATGAGCAACAAAAGGAACTCCAAGACGGCCGGCTGCAAAGGCCGGGACAGGAACGCCCACTGCCTAGAACTGGGAGGGAAACTGGTGACACGTCCAGAAGCACTAGAGGGCTAACTGAAAGGTTCATGGTTCAAATCCACAGGGTGGCCCTGTAGGAACAGGTGAGCCTAGGAAACCCTACGGGGCAGCACAAGCGGACGGAGCTCGACAGCTCCAACCGCAGGACCAAGCAGGAGGCACAAACACAGGGGAAGTCTCACGACACATGAAGACCACTCAGAAACTGGGGCACAGAAACTGAGAAGAGACACGGTCCCTGGGAGAAGCAAAAGGCAAGAGATAAGGGGTTGACCACACGTTATAACTCATTCATTACTCAGTATAATTAATGGTATAAAACAGTCCAGAAATTACCGAATGAAAAACATCAACGTGATCTGTAAGCCTTCACTCAAATTAAAAAGAGACAGAGTGAGAGACCTTCGTGAAAAGTCCACAACAGAAAGATAAAGCGTTCCCATGAGCTGGCGCCCTCAAGTCAGCCTCTGAGTGTCCCAAACGGTGAGGATGCTGGTCCCACGGTGCGTTAAGCACTGGAATGCCAACTAAAATGTCAGCAGTCCGGATAAAGCTGGGGTCCCTGCATCGGGAAAGACGCACAGCCTCATAACCGTGTGTGTGTGTGTGTGTGTGTGTGTGTCTCTCTCTCCCAGCCGGCAGGGGCACTTACCAGTCGGCAGGCCATCTGGAACGTGGACCTCTCGGACAGGACGTGCTTCGGACAGTCGTCCAGGGCCGACTGGAGGCTTCTCCCCAGCATGGGGAGCACCACGAACCTGGAGAACAGGAGGCCGGGTCAGCGGGGGCCGGGCAGGGCCCACAGGGCAAGAAGAGAACGGGGTGGTGGGGAAGGCAGGCCACGCTAAGCAGAGGGGCGCTGGCTAGCTGGTGCCGCGGGTCCTAAAGCCTAATTCCTACACCCCCACCGCAGGGAGCTCTGGTGGCTCAGAGGAAAGGAGGTGTGCTACCACCCCAAAGGCAGGTGGTTCAAATCTCTGTGGGAGAAAGACGGACAGTCTCCTCCCATGCAATTTTTAGCCTCTGAAAATTTGCTGGAGGGTCAGCTAAGAGTCAGTTTTGACGCAATGGCAGGGACAGCAACGCCACCACGCCTGGACCGTGGACCATGAACTGCCAAAAAGCCAACCAATCTGTGCCAGATAAAGGAGAGCCAGAGCGCTCCTCAGAAACAAGGGGGGCGGCGCCTCATCTCACTGTAGGCCTGTTATCAGGAGAGGACAGGACAGGCCTGGAGAAGGACATCACGCCTGGAAAGCGGATGGTCAGTGAAACGAAGGAAGACCCTCACTCGGACGGAGGGAAGACCCTCACTTGGACGGGCCGACACTGGCCGCCAACCGAGGGCTCTGCACGGGGGACCATGAGGGCGGCGCACAGCCGGGCAGAGTCCCGTGTGGCCTGAGGTCACTACATGGGGGTGTCCATCTGATGGCATCTCCGCTTTCAGTCCACGCTCAGCTGCTGACCAAAACGTTCACCGGTGGCACCTACCAGCCGCTCTAGGGAGAACGCTGTGGCCGCCCTGTCACGATTACTCCCTCACCGCCTTCAGTCTGGTTCTGACTCACAGCTGACCACCCCACCGGCTTTCTGCGGCCGTGAATCCTTTTAGGACAAGACTGGCCATCTCCCTCCCGTGGAGCTGCGGTGGACGTGCAGCCTCTGGGCTAACAGCTCAGCACCCCCTCTGCCCGGCCTACGCCACCAGAGCCCCCTCTGCACTGACGACAGCCCAGGGGACCTCGCAGTCTATCCCTGTCCTGTGGCCACTGCCGAGCTGGAATGACCAGGCGGCCAGGAGGGTGACCGGGGATGAGAGGGAAGGAGGGGCCTTGGTGGTGCCCCTGGAAGGCTGGAGGTCGGAACCCACTCCGGAGACTCCGGGTCAGTGAGGCCGGGCCAGGCCGGGCCGTGTGCCACTGTGCTGCTCACAGGGTGAGTCAGAGACATCTCCGCGGCCCCTTCCAAACCCACTGGGGCTCTGCCGGACAAAGACCCCGAGACCTCCGCCGTCTGCCCGACAAAGACCCGGAGACCTCCGCCCTCTGCCCGACAAAGACCCGGAGACCTCCACCCTCTGCCCGACAAAGACCCCGAGA